TAAATTTATTAAAAATTTTAAAAAATTAAAAAGTGCAAACGAATCCCAAATAAATTATTTAAAAATTAGAAATTTAAAAAAAATTAATTAATTTTTTAAAGGAAGGTATATTCATCATTTCACACCTCTTTATTAAGAAATTAAGTGAAAATGAATAGAAATGATTATTTACGTAATCAATGGTGTAATTAAGAGTAAAAATGCTAAAATAATAATAATAATAATAAAATGTATGGACATTTTACTCTATAATAGTGAAAGGTAGGGGTATTATGTGCCAATTACCCTTTTAATAATTTATTTGGGTACTCATCTGCGCTTTTTAAAAAAAAATTGATATTACGGTTGCAATTAGTTTTTCCTTTTTCTCTTTTTTATTTTATTTAAAGATGATGGTATATTTGTCATTACACAAATTTTGATTAAGAAAATTGATGAAAATGACATTTTGGGCAATGTCATATAGAAATAAGGGTGAAAATGTCAAAAAATGAAAGATATGGACATTTTTCACAATAACGGTAAAAGGTGAGGACGTTATGTTCTATTTTCCCTAATTTTAAGTATTATAGTAAAATTATATAGATAGGTTTTTATTATATTTTTGTTACATAAATAATTTGTTGTTACATCACAAACATAAAATGATCCGTTCAAAACTCATATTTGATCAAACAAAAAAATTCTCTATCTCTCTCTCTCTCTCTCTCTCTCACAAATTGGGAGAGAAATGTTGAATTCACAAATTATCAAAGTCGAAAAGTTTGCAGGCCGTGAAAATTCATTTAATCGTAGGACTGTTGGTTCCTCTTAGTTTAATATCTTCATTCAAGAATTCGAACTTCAAATACAATTTTTTGCCCAGAAAAACTTGTAAGTTCCTAGGGTAGATTGGATATATTTTCACAACGAAATGGATGGTTCATTACCTCCTTATTTCCCGAAGAAGCTATAAACCCTCTCTAATTCTCAAAACCAAAGAATAAACCCTTTTTTATTTTAATTGGGTTGTTTTGTATTTGTAAATTGCTTGTGGCATACTTGTTAAAAATGTGTTTTAATTGTAATGTGTTTATAATGTAATGTAATAAATAAAATTTGTGGTGGTAAACATATTTAGCATTTGGTGAGAGCGTTTTACCCCAAATATGGTCACTCATCGGAGACTGTCTGATTAATGTTATTCATAGTCAACTAATTATTTGAGGGATTAACTTGATATTTGAGGTAACAGAATTATAAAAAATTAATGCTTCAAATAACTAGTTGATCGTTGACTATGAATATTATTATTCGATTTTTTTTTTTAGATTCACTAATTAGAGATTCTTATAAACTCTTTTTTGTCTTCTTTTAAAACAAAACTCTTTAGTTCGCATACTCGTTTTCAATTACATTTACAAAATAAAATATTTTGCACGTAATTCAAAAAAATTTCATACTTTTTAACCAAATATTTTTCAAAAAATCACAATTCAAAACTCCAATTTTTTTTTTTTCAAAACAATGGTCATCAAACATGGACTAGGTTTGAATTTTGGGAGCTTCCACTTGTAGTTGGCTTTTATTTTAATTTTCTAAAGCAAAATTTGTGATTAATTTCCGACTAAAAAGTAAACACGTAATTAGGGATGACAAAAAATTCATACAACTCGATACCCACGACCCCACCTCGAAAGCAGTAGGAATTACTCGCCGAATTGAGTAAATGGGATAGGGACGTGGTGGGAGTCATTACCCCAAAGCGAGTACGGAAAACATAGTTCTCGCCTCGTTCCGTCCCGTTTAAAATTAATTTCAAATTTAAGTTTTTATCAAATAAAAATAAAAAGTTTATCATCATTTTTAAAGGGAACGTAAGTTATTTTTAACAAATTAAAAAATAATAATAATATTTACTAAATAAAGTCAAAAAAAAAAAAATAACAAAAAAAAAATAACAAAAAAAATAAAAAATAAACAGGGCAATAAATAGGCCGGAGACCCGCCCCGCCTAAATCCCCTCCCGAACCCGCTCGTCCCCCTTTAACAGGGTATGGGCAACGGGTAAGGTAACAAAAGTACCCAACATAACTGGGTGAGAAAGATCTATCCGTCTTATATCTACTCGTTGTCATTTCTGCATGTAATTAAAAGCTAATAAAATATCTAAAAGAAATACAATTATACTCTCAATTTTTAAGAACGTGATATGATGTAATTGACTACGTAATATCGTAGGTATAAAAAAATATATTTATGTCAAACTTTAGTTACATACAATTTTCTTATAAGCTGCTAAATGTTTCGAGGCAACATGAAATGTGGAGATAAAAAAATCACACCCACAGTTAT